AGAAGAGAAGCAGGATCAAGGAAGGGTTCCTGGGCTGACAGATTTTCATCACCGGCTCCCTCCACTCCCTCCTCCCCCTCCACACGCCAGGAGAGAGGTTGTCGCATGTCTGCCCGTTTCTGATTGGCCATCAGACTCAGTTCTGTCACCTCCTGAATCTGTTAGAATTGGACAGTAGGATGGGATGTGACAAGTGGGGGTATGAGAGTATGGGGTGTGATTGTGGAACGGGCAGGAAAGCAATAATACATAATGAAGCAGGATGGTAGTGTAAAATCTCGTCGGATGGCTTGTCACTTTCGAAATTGATTGTTCCCTGGTTTTTGGTCAGCTCACTCACAGAAAAAAAAAAAAGAGTAAACAAGAGGCTTTGGCCCAAGTTTGAAGGTTTGAGAAGGTTTGAGTCAAGGATTGAGAGCAAGTTAGAAGGTCGGTAGGGTAACCAATCCTGTCTTGTTGCAAAGAGGTGAGCGTCAGGAATGAAAAGGTAGAGTAACCAAACCTGTTACATGTTACTCTATAATTGGGTAACGAAACCAGTTATTTATAGCCTTATCATAGGGTAACCAAACCAAACCAGTTACCTGTTATTTATAATTGGGTAATCAATAAGTTACCTGCTTTACTGCAAACAATTGCCGAAGGTCCACTTGAGCTGGAGAAGACAAGGCAGCATGCTCCCCAGGCTGCAGATGCAGATGAGGAAAGGAGGCAGATGAGACAGGGAAGCAGGATCATATAAGGGATGAAGAGGTGTTAATCTGACTCTCCTGAAACCAGGAGGCTTCCCGATTGAGAGAGGGGAAAGTGGGGAGGAAATTAGGGCGACAGGAGGGATGCCGGTCAGGGGGCTACAAGGCTGTCTACGGAGTGTACATGGGAAATGAAGTGAAGTGGTGAGAGAAGGGGACGATGAGATTGTGAGGGGTTTAGAGAGGTGCAGTAGGGCAGATGTGCCATCAGAACAAGTGCAACACGAAGGGCATGACAAGAGGGGGAAGTTGAGAGTGAGAAGGAAAAGTGGAATGTGATGAATACAACGGGAAGTAGGATGGAAGGAAGGCCGAGTGTGGGGGGGTGTGAGTGTGAGAGAGGAGGGAGCGTGAGTGCGTACGAGGAGTGAGGGAAGAAGAGGTGTGTGTGAGAGGGGTTGTCAGTGTGGGTGGGACTCACCTCATACAGGTGAGCTAGTCTCAGAACAACCGTGCTTGGAGAGAGCTCCTGCACGTGACAGTGGCACAAGCGAGTGTGAGATTAAAGGGAGGGTAGAGGCTGAAAGAGATGAGACAAGCTCAGCTTTTGAGGCGCCTCAAAAGACAAGCTCAGCAGAACACATCACAGCACAGCAGAACACATCACAGCACAGCACAGCAGAACACATCACAGCACAGCAGAACACATCACAGCACAGCACAGCAGAACACATCACAGCACAGCAGAACACATCACAGCACAGCACAGCAGAACACATCACAGCACAGCAGAACACATCACAGCACAGCACAGCAGAACACATCACATCACAGCACAGCAGAACACATCACAGCATGGAACACATCACAGCATGGAACACATCACAGCATGGAACACATCACAGCATGGAACACATCACAGCATGGAACACATCACAGCATGGAACAGCACAGTTTTATCCTTGAGGGAAAAGTACATGTAGTACGAATGAAACAAGTGCTTGTAACGAGGTGGCAGATAACAGCAACATTGGGAGGGGCCTAGTAGGAGGAATATTATGAGGCAAATAGAAAACAAATGTTTAGCATGAATGAAACAGTTTGGTTGCAACGAGGTGGCTGTTACCTGCATCGAGATGACAGCAACGTTAGGCGAGATCGAGTAGGAGGAAGCACTGTCAGAGCTGCTGGATGACGTGGATGATGCTGATGTGGAAGGTGGTTGGGAGAGGGAGTAGTGCCACGTGTAGCTACCTTCTGCTGCTTTGATAGACTGCTGAGTCTGCGGGCGTTGGGATGGAGAGAAGGCAAGGTTGGGATGGATGGAGAGAGGTTCGAGTGGATGGGGGGTTGAAACATGAGCAGGGAGGGTTGCAGGGAACGCAGAGCATGAGTGGAAGCACATGGAAAGGGTGGGGATCATGGTGTGGTGGAGAGGGCTCCCCTCAACACTAAAGGTGAGCTGAAGAGTGGCTATGATGACCCTCTGTGCATATGTTAGATGCTTTTGAATACTTGAACGAGAAAGAGAAAAAGAGGGATGAGAAGGGCTCATTTGAACTGTAAAAGCGAGCTGAAGAGGTGCTAGGAGCCGAGCCGTTGTGCATATGGGACATGCTTAGAAAAGCGTAAAGAGAACGCGAGGAAGAGATAAAGGAGAGAAAGAGGGATGATAATGGCATGGCTCACTTCAACCGCGAAGGCGAGCTGCAGAGGGGTTAGGAGCCGTTGGGCATGCTGCCTCCTCCACTCGCTCCCCCGCCCCAACCCCAGGCCATCCTCCCCTTGCCCTCCTTCCTCCCCTGCACTTTCGTGAGAGTCCGTGTTGGGATGCAGGCCAAAGCGCAGAGAGCCCACAAGCTGCAGGGCAGGGGAGAGATGGATGTTGCACGGTGGGAAAGATGGAAAGGCATGACTTCATCAGTGAAAAGGCAAGCTGAAGAGGGGCGTTGAGTGGCTGTGTGCGCTGCCCTAAGCGCAGAGAACCTACAACTTGCAGGGCAGGGGAACAATGATTGTTGCTTCATGCGTTTTTTAAGTCGCACTGCGAAAAGACCAGCTCAAAGCAGCGAGATCCTTTTGAGTCGACTCAGAAGTGACTGCCAGGTAGTTTAATGCGTTTCTGGCGGCGCTGCAAGCTAGCAGACCAGCTCAAAGCGCCGAGATCCCATGAATTCCGCAGTGCCAGGGAGATACGGCTGAGAGGGAGATACAGTTGTCGCCGAATGGTATTGCGCGGAGAATTTGGGTGGAAGGAGAGAGGAGGAGAGGAGGTTTTGTTGAGAAAGAAGGTATCGGGAAGAAGTATTGAGAGAGGGAGGTGAAGGTTTTTTTTTGGAGGGGGAAGCATGGTAGCGAGAGGACATCTGTACATGAGATGTGGACCCGTGGTGAAGTGCGGAAATGTGGAGGTGTGGAAGTGTGGAAGTGTAGAAGCTCGTGCTGTGATTATTGCACCAAGCACTCACTGTGAGGAAGCGGGTCTTGTTTCCCAGTGTGATCCTCTCCTCCAGTGCCTCCCCCACGCCCTTGTGGTCCAGCGATACCAGCTTCCTGGTGGCGCGTGGAAGGGATGGGGGGAAATGGGGCGAGATGGGGGGGGGTTAGGGATGAGCAAGGGCCGAACACGAACATGTTCGTGTTCGCCCCTAGACGAACACGTCCGTTTGCCGAACCGAACACTGTTCGGTTCGTTGAACACTTTAAGCAAAAACACGTGTTCGCCGTTCGCCTGTGAAGGCGTGTTCGGGCGAACCTCGAACACGTTCGTGTTCGTCGCGGGGCAAATTGCAGCAGCGGCCCGAACACGAACGTGTTCGGGCGAACATCGAACACTGTTCGGCGAACAATTTAAGCAAAAAAAAACAAACCTGTTCGGTTCGCCTCGAACACGTTCGAGGCGAACCGAACAGGTGTTCGCCCTTGTGCTCATGTCTAGGGGGGGTGAAGCGAGATGGCGTGGGGGTGGAGGGAGATGGGGAGGGGGGGGGGGGGGGGGAATGGGCGGAGATGGGGGGGGGAGGGGATCGGGGGAGATGGGGGGAGATGAGGGGAGTTGGATGCCACGTTTGGTTGGAAAACGATGGAAGTGTGAATGCGTGAGAAACATGGCTCGCCTCTATCTATGCACATAAGAATGAAGACTAGTCGTCGTGTAGCTCCTAGGAGCATAGCTTGCGCATAGCCCATGGCAGCACTACATGCACCCTGGCAGCACTACATGCACCATGGCAGCACTACATGCACCCTGGCAGCACTACATGCACCATGGCAGCACTACATACACCCTGGCAGCACTACATTCACCCTGGCAGCACTACATGCACCCTGGCAGCACTACATGCACCCTGGCAGCACTACATGCACCCTGGCAGCACTACATGCACCATGGCAGCACTACATGCACCCTGGCAGCACTACATGCACCATGGCAGCACTACATGCACCCTGGCAGCACTACATGCACCCTGGCAGCACTACATGCACCCTGGCAGCACTACATGCACCCTGGCAGCACTACATGCACCCTGGCAGCACTACATGCACCCTGGCAGCACTACATGCACCCATGGCAGCACTACATGCACCCATGGCAGCACTACATGCACCCATGGCAGCACTACATGCACCCTGGCAGCACTACATGCACCCTGGCAGCACTACATGCACCCCCCTGTGCTACAGAGTCCTCCCTCACCTGTGAAGCATGACGTCACCTGTGAAGCATGACGTCACTTGTGAAGCATGACCTCCATCTGGCCAGATGCCAGGCTGGCAGCGCCTGCCGCCCGGTCCACAAGCACCGACAACTGGGCTGCTTTGTCTTTTATGAAAGCTCCAACCGTTATCTGAAGTGAAGAGCAAGGAGTCGAGAGAGAAAGGGAGGAGGCAGAGAGGTGCCAATTCTTAGACAAAGAAAGGGCAACACAACGGATCGATAGCTGCAGGGCGCGTTAAGCAGGAGAGAGGAAAAGGCTCTTGTTGCCATCACGTTGACTCTGGTTGACTTGCCAGCGCCACTACTTCAACAGTACACAGGACCACTCCCAATCGAGTGCACTTTTTCTTGCCCTCGAGTTGACTCTGGTTGACCTCGAGTTGACCCTGTTGACTTGCGTTGACTCACCGGATAGTAGTTCCCTGCTATGGGGTCGGTAACGTTAAGGTGCCAGTCGGACCGACAGTCCACCACCTGACAATGGGGTGGTGGGATGGTGGGGTGGTGGGGTGGTGGGGCATGGGGTGATGGGGTGGTGGGGCAGAAGGAGGTGGCATTCTGGGGCTTGTGAATAGGAGGAGCGCTGGACAATGGCACTGGTTTCATGGGCACGTATATGTTCGTTGCAAAGGGAATGGGCAAGGAGAGGGCATGGAGAAGGGAGAGGGCATGGAGAAGGGAGAGGGCACACAAATCTGGCAGACAATACTGTGTAGATAGCGTATTGCTACAGTGACGGCTGGGCTGCAGTGACGGCTGGGCTGCAGTGACGGCTACCTACCTCACCTGTTTGATAAGCTGCTGCCATTGAAGCGGGCTTACACCTCCTAGCCCCTCTCGCTGCCATTGAAGCGGGCTTACACCTCCTAGCCCCTCTCGCTGCCATTGAAGCGGGCTTACACCTCCTAGCCCCTCTCGCTGCCATTGAAGCGGGCTTACACCTCCTAGCCCCTCTCGCTGCCATTGAAGCGGGCTTACACCTCCTAGCCCCTCTCGCTGCCATTGAAGCGGGCTTACACCTCCTAGCCCCTCTCGCTGCCATTGAAGCGGGCTTACACCTCCTAGCCCCTCTCGCTGCCATTGAAGCGGGCTTACACCTCCTAGCCCCTCTCGCTGCCATTGAAGCGGGCTTACACCTCCTAGCCCCTCTCGCTGCCATTGAAGCGGGCTTACACCTCCTAGCCCCTCTCGCTGCCATTGAAGCGGGCTTACACCTCCTAGCCCCTCTCGCTGCCATTGAAGCGGGCTTACACCTCCTAGCCCCTCTCGCTGCCATTGAAGCGGGCTTACACCTCCTAGCCCCTCTCGCTGCCATTGAAGCGGGCTTACACCTCCTAGCCCCTCTCGCTGCCATTGAAGCGGGCTTACACCTCCTAGCCCCTCTCGCTGCCATTGAAGCGGGCTTACACCTCCTAGCCCCTCTCGCTGCCATTGAAGCGGGCTTACACCTCCTAGCCCCTCTCGCTGCCATTGAAGCGGGCTTACACCTCCTAGCCCCTCTCGCTGCCATTGAAGCGGGCTTACACCTCCTAGCCCCTCTCGCTGCCATTGAAGCGGGCTTACACCTCCTAGCCCCTCTCGCTGCCATTGAAGCGGGCTTACACCTCCTAGCCCCTCTCGCTGCCATTGAAGCGGGCTTACACCTCCTAGCCCCTCTCGCTGCCATTGAAGCGGGCTTACACCTCCTAGCCCCTCTCGCTGCCATTGAAGCGGGCTTACACCTCCTAGCCCCTCTCGCTGCCATTGAAGCGGGCTTACACCTCCTAGCCCCTCTCGCTGCCATTGAAGCGGGCTTACACCTCCTAGCCCCTCTCGCTGCCATTGAAGCGGGCTTACACCTCCTAGCCCCTCTCGCTGCCATTGAAGCGGGCTTACACCTCCTAGCCCCTCTCGCTGCCATTGAAGCGGGCTTACACCTCCTAGCCCCTCTCGCTGCCATTGAAGCGGGCTTACACCTCCTAGCCCCTCTCGCTGCCATTGAAGCGGGCTTAGACCTCCTAGCCCCTCTCGCTGCCATTGAAGCGGGCTTAGACCTCCTAGCCCCTCTCGCTGCCATTGAAGCGGGCTTAGACCTCCTAGCCCCTCTCGCTGCCATTGAAGCGGGCTTAGACCTCCTAGCCCCTCTCGCTGCCATTGAAGCGGGCTTAGACCTCCTAGCCCCTCTCGCTGCCATTGAAGCGGGCTTAGACCTCCTAGCCCCTCTCGCTGCCATTGAAGCGGGCTTAGACCTCCTAGCCCCTCTCGCTGCCATTGAAGCGGGCTTAGACCTCCTAGCCCCTCTCGCTGCCATTGAAGCGGGCTTAGACCTCCTAGCCCCTCTCGCTGCCATTGAAGCGGGCTTAGACCTCCTAGCCCCTCTCGCTGCCATTGAAGCGGGCTTAGACCTCCTAGCCCCTCTCGCTGCCATTGAAGCGGGCTTAGACCTCCTAGCCCCTCTCGCTGCCATTGAAGCGGGCTTAGACCTCCTAGCCCCTCTCGCTGCCATTGAAGCGGGCTTAGACCTCCTAGCCCCTCTCGCTGCCATTGAAGCGGGCTTAGACCTCCTAGCCCCTCTCGCTGCCATTGAAGCGGGCTTAGACCTCCTAGCCCCTCTCGCTGCCATTGAAGCGGGCTTAGACCTCCTAGCCCCTCTCCCTGCCATTGAAGCGGGCTTAGACCTCCTAGCCCCTCTCGCTGCCATTGAAGCGGGCTTAGACCTCCTAGCCCCTCTCGCTGCCATTGAAGCGGGCTTAGACCTCCTAGCCCCTCTCCCTGCCATTGAAGCGGGCTTAGACCTCCTAGCCCCTCTTACTGCCATTTCATACCTCCATTACTGTCTTCTGCTGCTGATGCTGCTGATGCTGATGAAGCAGTGAAGCAAATATAAGAGCACCAACGAAGTTTGGACGGGTATTCATGCATGCAGCCCCACCCATCCAATGTAGCTTCAGCGATTGGAGTAGGAGTGAAATTTCTTGCTGCTGTTGATGGATGCGAGCTGTCGTATGGAATGGAAGAATTTCCCTGGTGTGAAAGTCGTGTTTTGAGTCAACTCAAAACAGGACTCCCTGGTGTGTCCTCAAAAATTTCTCTGGTGTGAAAGGAAGGAACAGCTGACCAGTCCCAACAGCGCCTCGCCTACTTGATGCGGCTCCAGCCACTGGAATCAGAGTAGAAGGTGTTGCTGCTGTTGCAGTGAGCCGTGACGCGAGCTTCCATGCACCATCAAGGGCTGTGTGCACTCATTTGAAAACAAGAAACCCTCACCCGCTTGAGGTAGCTGCGGCCACTGGAATCGGAGTAGAAGTTCCTGCTGCTGTTGATGGGCGACACGAAGCGAGTCACCACCTCGTGGTTGTGACCCTTGGAGGGCAGTGGACCCACCTGTGCAACACACTCTCTCACACACAGGCACACACAGAGGCACACACACACACACGCACACACACAGGCACACACACACACACGCACACACACAGGCACACACACACACACGCACGCACACACACACACACAGGCACACACACACACACGCACGCACACACACACACACACACACACACACACAGAGGCACAGTAGAGGCAATAGTAAGGGGTGGCTGTGAGTGCGTCACCACCTCGTGGTTGTGACCCTTGGAGGGCAACGGACCCACCTGTGTGTCAGAATCTGTCAGAATCCCAACCACTAGACCATTGGGATAAAAGGGCTTGTTTCAGTAGCGGGTCAGTGCGCCCATAACCCCCCAGGCTAACATGCCTGTAACCCCCCAAGGATCAATCGGGGATCTCACAGTGCAGCTCTACTGACACCCCCCCACACTGGGAGGCCCAGGACTGAGCACAGCGGCAACGGCCTGCATGTGCATACACCGGGATTCGAACCCGAGACCGCTCTGATACCATGTCAGAATCCCAACCACTAGACCATTGGGATAAAAGGGCTTGTTTCAGTAGCGGGTCAGTGCGCCCATAACCCCCCAGGCTAACATGCCTGTAACCCCCCAAGGATCAATCGGGGATCTCACAGTGCAGCTCTACTGACACTGTGCAACACACTCTCTCACACACAGGCACAATATAGACAATAATAAGGGAGGCTGTGAGCGAGTAGCATACGCTTCGATTTGGCAAGCAGCAAAAGTAGTGAAGCGGGTCAACGTCTTGTGAGACTATTGAAGGGTTGGCTGTTGAGGATTCTTGAAGCAACAGTGAACAGTGAAACAGCAGTGAACAGTGAAACAACAGTGAAACAGCAGTGAACAGTGAACAGTAATTATATCATCCGGCACTCACGGAATAATGCAGCTCAGCGTAGTCCTTCCCTGGATACACTCTGAAGACCTGGGAGTTGGGAGTAGTGCAGAGTGGCAGAGGCACAGGGAGAAGGAAGATGAATGAAGGGTGGTGAGTTATCAGAGGGAACAGGCAGGTAGAGGAAGAACCTCCCATTGGGAGTGGCAAGTTGATTGAACAGCAAGCAAGCAACTTACTTACCACTGCGTTGGATGTCTTATGGGAGGGAAGCAATCACACAGGGCATCTCAGAGGAGGCAGTTGAATGTAGCGTAGACATACGTGCACTGAGTGTGGCTGTGCGATCATTACGCAATCATTACGCAATCATTAATCGAGAAATGCATGTGCGTGTGTGTCGCTGTGATAAAAAGCGTACAGCAGCGTGAACAGTGCAAGAGGGCCCTTGCTGCATATCAGAAAAGGCAGGGGCAAGAGGTGCGGAGGTGGAGGGTTTCCAAACGTTCTCAAAACACCATCCAAAAACAAGAAGGTGAAGGAGGTAGGGAGGAGGAGGAGGAGGAGGAGGAGGAGGAGGAGGAGGAGGAGGAGGAGGAGGAGGAGGAGGAGGAGGAGGTGGTGGTGGTGGTGGTGCACTCACCTCAGAGATCCACGGCGTGACCTGGCGGCTGTACTCCTCCACGATTGGTCCACGCTGGATGTGAATGGGCACCTGGTACTAGACATGAGCAGGATCTCGAACACCTGTTCGGTTCGCCTCGAACATGTTCGAGGCGAACCGAACTATTTTTTTTTTTTGAAAAAATTGTTCGAGGCGAACATGTTCGGTGTTCGCCCGAACATGTTCGCCGTTCGCCACCTCCATTCGGTGGAGTGTGGACGAACACGAACATGTTCGTGTTCGTCCAGTGGATGACGCGAACACTAAAGTGTTCGCGTCAAATTTGGCCGCGACCAAATTTAGGTCGCGGCCAAGTTGAGTTTGAGCTCATTTTTTGAGCTCAAACTCAACACATCTTTGTTGGTTAGCCCTCCCTCCCTCACCCACCATAGGCTTCATCTCTAAGAGCCACCAAACACCGTTCCCTAATTATTACACGAACATTTCAACTAAGTAGTTCGTAGTAGTGAAGGGTAATTTCAGAAATCGCGAGGGGTTAGTTCGTTGTAGCTACGGGATCAATTTCGTAGAGGCTAATTCCCTAGTTGTAGGGGCGGCATTTCTCCGTGCCACACGTAACTAGGAGTTCAATTAGGTTAGGACCGTGCTATCTGTGGCTTGCGACCGTTCCTTTGGGGTTTTAGGGTTTTAAGGCCGAGGGCTGATTTATGGCTTCCAGCCAACATGGATGTGTAGAACGAGGTGCACGCAGCGCTCAGGGCGGTACACCAGGTGCTCCACCACGACCTATGCAGGGGCGAGTAGGGGATGGACCTGCAGGAGCCGGCGCTTGTTTCGTCGGGGGGTTTCTTTCCGTAGCGGCGCCGACGTCCCGTCACTCGTTCCGTTACTCAGGCCCGCGACCCCCTCCTTCTGGGCAAACGCAGCCGGAGAGTGGCAGTGGGGAGGAGGATGAGGAGGAGGAGGGTGAGGGCGAGGAGGATGAGGACGATGAGGGGAGCGGGGATGACAGTGAGGCCGGGTGGGATCCCGAGACGCATGGCGGTGGGAAAGGGGGGGATGATGAGGAGGACCATGAGATGGATGGGTTGGAGCCAGAGGAGGTGGAGGAGGGGGTGGGAGAGGGTGGTGAAGGGGCGGCGACAGAGGCGGCCTCACAGCATGTGGCTGAAGGAGGAGGGAGCGTGGGGGTTAAGGTGGGGAGAAAGCGGGCATCCATTAGGATGCCGAAGTGGAGGAAGAGAGCGAGCAAGTTGAGGGAGCGAGCATATCCCTGCACATTCACTGAAAGCCCTTGGGCGAGGGTGTGGTCGCTCCGGAGTTCCTAGACGAGGACGGAGGGTCCGAGAGTAGTAAGGGGACTGGCAAGGGTAATAAAAAACCCGGCGTGTTGTCCGGCAAGGGTACATAGACCAGGCTGACACCACGTCAGCAGAACAGCCAGGAAGAACTGACAAAAATTAAAGGCCTCTAGGAAAGCGGCTTTACTCCACTCCACCCATCAGAAGCCACTCCATACTGAAGGCACGGCACAGTGGAGTAAAGCCGCTTTCCTAGAGGCCTTTAATTTTTGTCAGTTCTTCCTGGCTGTTCTGCTGACGTGGTACCAGCCTGGTCTATGTACCCTTGCCGGACAACACGCCGGGTTTTTTATTACCCTTGCCAGTCCCCATACTACTCTCGGACCCTCCGTCCTCGTCTAGGAACTCCGGAGCGACCACACCCTGCCTCCCCCTCGTCCTCTGCCCCTTCCACGGCCATACCCTCGGCCGATGCTTGCTGCCCCGGCGCCATCCGCACTCGCCAACTCACGGCGGCGGAAGTCCTCTTGAAGGATCGCTCGCTTCACATCTTCAAGCGAGAGGCGGGGCAAGTCACGATTGAGGTTGATGATGAGCGAGGACCATGACTCTGGGAGTAAGGCCAGCAACTTGGTCTTCTTTTGGAGCTCAGTATAGTTCAAATCAGCTCTCTCAAGCCGCGTCAATAAGTCGAAGAATTTCAGCACCCCTTCTTCAACCGCTTCGTCTTCTTCAATTCGTAGTGCCGCCATTTGCCGTTCCAACACCACCGCTACCGCCGCTGTTGCAGGAGCGTGTACACCCTTGAGAGCAGCCCATGCCTTTGGTCCCTTCTCTGGTTCACGCTGGAATGGCTTGATGTGACGGATTTGGCTGCTCCCCAACGCTTGCCCAAGTAGGAGATAGCCTTGTGCGCTCTTTCGCACCCACGGGCTCTTCTCCGGGTCGTTCTCGGGGCGCTTCTCCGTTCCTTCCATCACCTCCAGCAGGTCATAGTGGTCAAATACATTCTCCATTCTGAAGGACCATTCAGCGAAGTTGTCGCCATTGAACTTGTCAAGCCCAAACACCCTAGGCTCATCCCTAGGTGGGCCAAGACTTGGTTGCATGGGCGCCATGGCTGAATCACGGGGTTGGCCTTGCCCTTGGGCTTCTCCACTGCCACCAGCACCTCTGCCACCCCTTTCCTCAGGTCCAGCCATTGTCAAAACTGCTCCAAGGGGCTCTGATACCACTTGTTATAGTCACAATAGGCTTGAATGTGCCTAAAACGAAAGATAGAGTGCACAGACGGATTTCTGCAGAGCGGCTTCAAACGTTGATAGTGTTATTGTCACAATAGGCTTGAAAGTGCCTAAAACGAAAGATGAGTACACAGTCGGATTTCTGCTCAGCGGCTTCAAACGTTGATAGCGTTCTGCTCACAGTTGCAAATGACTTGCTATAAATTAGATCTGGAGCATCTTGATGTCGCCTACACGAGGCAATTTGAATCACACGATTTCATCAAGAATGGACGACGCAACGTCGGTTTGAACGAACGGCACTATGGCAGCCACTATAGTCTTAGAACACAAGATAGGAAGAGTTACGAGTTGGGAATGACTCCCAGCTCCTACAAACCCCAAGAGCCGAGGTACACTGATGTGCAACAGTGCCACACTGTCCCCAACCACGAAGGGTCTCGAAACTACCCTCCACAAGGGCCTACACCAAGAGAAATGTTACACTACACAAAGTAATGCAACTATTCACACTATCTTAAAGTTTACCCTTTAGGAGAGCTTCAAAATCACTTGAATCTTGAAACCAAGGCTCTGGTTCTTCTAGATAAATTCTTCCTTGAGTTCTTGGAATTCTGCTGCGCACACCTGCGACACGCCGAACGTTCCACACACGACAAAATAGAAAACCGCACACGACACGCAAACAACGACGTGACACGCGGCTAGCGATAACTTAGTATTGACTCGACACACATTCAAAACCATGCCTCATCATTCACACACTATTATAAGCATGAAATATACATTATCTCATGCCCTCATACCATTCCATGCACACACGCATGCACGCACACGGACAACAAGCCGAATGCAAACCCTAGGGTTGCACCAACAAACTCCCCCTCGGATTGTTGGCCTTAGGAACTTGCTCTCTCAGTTCAGAGCCATCCCAGCCAGCTTGCAACACTTCCAATGCTGCTGCTCCACCAGCCTCTTGGTCATCATGTCAGCTGGCTGCCCCGTCGTCTTCACGTAGCGCAACTCAACTTCACCCGCGGCCACCATGCTCCTCGTCCAATGCCACTTCACCCTCATGTGCTTTGTGAGGCCATGCAACACAGGGTTCTTAGCAAGAGCAATGACACCCTGGCTGTCACAGTAGAGTGGGGTAGGTCCTTGCTGCTCCTCCCCCAATTCAGCCAACAAACGCCGTTGCCACACAATCTCCCGTACGGCACGGAAGAGTGCCATGTACTCGGACTCCACCGAGCTCAATGCTTGATCCACCTACTTCTTGCTCTCCCAAGCAGTTGGGCCTCCACCAACACAGCAAATGAACCCTCCAACAATTGTCATGTCCACTGGTTCTGATGCATAAGAAGCATCTGAGAATGCGGTGAGGAACAAACGCCCGGGTTCAACACCATCCGCGCCCTTTTGGAGCCTTTGCGCCGCCGTCGAGTATTGCAGCCCAACCGTCGCTGTTTGGCCAAGATACTTGGCCACCCTCATTCCAGCAGCTACCTGCTCCTCATTAGGGCATTGAACAACCCTAGCCAACTGTCTGGTTGCAAAGGCGACGTCCGGTCGGGTGTTTACCGCCGCGTACATGAGGCTGCCCACCAACGAGTGAAAACGGCGTCTCTCCTCTTCACCAACGCTCTCCTCCTCTGGTCCCTTCACACACTTGAACCCAGAGGGAAAGGGTGTAGCCACATGGCCTTCACTCTGCCCAAATTTGGCAGCCAATGCCTCCAGGTACTTCCGTTGATGCACCCGCATGCACCGCTTCTCCGCATCTCGTTCGATGTGGAGCCCAAGGTAGAAGCTCACGTCACCAAGGGCCTTGCACTTGAACTTGTCTTGAAGCTTCAGCATCAACTCCTTCACAAGATCAGAGGAGGGTGAGAAAATTAGGATGTCATCCACGTACACAACCATGAAGCTCCTCTGCTCCCCCTCGCCAAGCATGAACAATGAGTGATCGGCCGTTGAGGGAGTGAAGCCGATCCTCCAAAACTCCTCGCAGCTTCAAGTACCACTGCCTAGGGGCCTGCTTGAGTCCATAAAGGGTCTTCTTCAGCTTCAAAACTCTGCCACTACCATCATCCAACCCCTCTGGCTGCGCCATAAAAATCTCTTCCTCAAGGACGCCGTTGAGGAATGCCGTTGTGACATCCATTTGTTTCATCACCCATCCTTTGATGGCAGCTCCCGCGTGTAGGGTTCGCAGCGTCGTCGGCTTCACCACAGGAGCAAACAACTCCTTATAGTCCACCTTCTCCTTCTGCTGGTACCCCTTTGCCACAAGCCTAGACTTGTAGCGCTCGATTTTGCCATCGACGTCGGACTTGATCTTGAAGAGCCACTTGGACGTAATCGCCTTACCCCCCTTCGGTAGCTCCACCAATTTCCATGTGCCGTTCTCCTCAATGCTCTTCAACCCACTCTCCATTGCCTTCTTCCACTCCTCAGCATCACTACTCTCCAAGGCCTCCTTGAGAGTTGCTG